ATTCGAGAAACTATTGATTTTTTCAGAAACAATCTCAATGCTTTACTAAATGATGTACAATAAAAAATATGCCAAAACTGAACTTATTTTAATAAACTGATTTTTTTAAACTTCTTAATAGTATCAAAGTATTAAAAACAGATGGAAGTATCGAGATTCAGTGACTTGAATAGTATCGAGTCTCTCGATGGGTAGTAGTACAAGTGATGTCAAATGTTATTTAACACTTTTTTCAAAATGCCATGTTCAGTGTACGATCATGATGCTTTTTTCAAACCTCAATGAATGTAGCAGGTAAAGTTACTTTCGTTGCTACATTGGTGCTTTAGGTACTTAAGTAGCTACAGTTTAATTGCAAAAGGCAACGTTCGGAAGATTAAATTGATGAAGATGTTGCTTTCAAGCTCCAGCTTCACTTTTTAGAGTCATGCTAATTAACAATAGTTAATTATTACATAGTTAATTATTGCGAAGCTTGATCAACATTCAGCTGCCTTCAGAAGTTATTAAAAATTAATCTAAATTTTGATGTACTTTTGCCCCTGTATGGGTCACATTGACCAAATTTTAACCGGTCAAAAGGGCGTATTATTGCTAAGTGCAGAATGTGTGTCTCTATCTGGACAATTTGCCACATTCAATTTTCTGAGTGTAGGTCGCCCGAATTGGTCCGGTAAATGAAGAGTTTTCATGTGAATGACCAAACAAGTGAACCAAAAAAGTTTCAGCCAAATGCAAATTCATGTACAAAGTACATCCCATTCTCACAAGCATCTAAGACAGAAGAATAATTAAAATTGAGGAAATTTTCGTCTCATTGTTTCACGATTGAAGTTGTCGGAACGGGAATTAAGGAAACCGGAACGAAATTTTTATCGCAAATAATCTTCGTAATTTTAAATGAATTGCGAGCTCGTAAAACGAAAATATAAATTATTAATTTAATTACAAGTTATTATTGCATAAAGATAATCTAAGATATGTGTCTAGTGTTTTTAGTAGGCGATGGCGCTAGAGATTGATTTTGTTTAACAATACAACAGTTTTTCGACGAGTTTTCCCATCCTAAACAATATTTCATGTTATTTTCGCAGCTCCTCTTCAGTGAACTAAAAAAACTGAACTTTCCCCGTGCAAAGGCTGCCGTTAAATTACACGATAGCTACTGCTATCTTCAAAGGAAAATCGTTGGAAAATCTTGAGAAAATCTCGGGAAATTCTTAAGAAAATCTTAGGGAAAATCAGCGCCCTACCCTGGGATATCCATCACGATAGGGGGGCTAGATCCAAAGAAAGCTCACTTCATCAAGCCGCTTTTGTTGAGAGAATACGAGGGTTCAGGCCCGAGGGCAGGCAACTCTTGGCGGACTAAACCAAAGTCGCCGGGTGGTCGGTGTCCTCAATCAAGTAATGGATCCCCCGCCGTGGTATGGAATATGTAAGGATGCCAACGCAAGACTTACTGCCCAATGCCCAAGCCAGGCTCCTCGGTATGAGTGCAATATCTACTGACCAACACGCATTGTTTGGCGGCTGTAAGCGCACAATTGCTATGGCTTTTGTGAAGTCGCCCCACTTCTTCTGGGAAGAAAATGTGTCTCTTGGTCGAACAAAATGTATTTGTTGCTAGGCTTCTTGGAACTAAAGAAAACTAACATTAAGCTCATCGGCTTCATGATATACGGACGTAACAGTGGTACAATGTAAAAAATTTGACAATCGTTTCACTCGTTTTGGGAAATGTAAGGTATTCTTTCTGCCATATAATTTTTACCAGATTTACCAGATGTCTGTTCAAGACCTTTTGCACTGGAAGTTCATGTCTTTCCATCAATACAACAGAGTTATATCTCATTATTGATCACATGCATTGTTTCCCACAATATTGAGATAAGTTCATATCATTATTTGATATTTTTGATACGCGGTCATCATTGAACCAAATGCCCCGTGAGTGTCTGCAGCATAAATTCATTACCCTATTATCTCGATGAAAAAATCCCTGTATTTCTCCGACGTCTAACCCATTATCTCTCGCAAAAGAATTAAATTAACTCCCGCGGAAGCCACAAAAACAATTCATTAAGTCGGCCACCGCTGGAGTTTTTGCGTATGCGTCTCACCAGACCTGAGAGCTAATTTGAATTTCTGGCCTGGAACTTGAGGTTTGCTTAGAGCGGCTCTTTGCACTCCATCAACATTCGCCTCCGCTAAATAGTAACGGTTTTAACGTACCTGTTTCATTCGGAAAATCGCACACTGAAAGCTACGGATGTTTCATAATTACGGTATAAATTCTATTTTTTTAACAATTTCTGATATTGATATCTGTACACTGAGACACACTTTGAATCATTTTATTGATGTATATGTATTTAAACACATTTTTAATAATTTCTAACCAAGTATTGTCCGTCACTTCTTGCTGTAGCTGCTTAGAATAAGAACTTATTTAAAATACGCGAACCCAATTAATGTAAATCGGAAAACTTTACACGTACGAGCCTTTTATTCTAGTAGTAGTAGCAGCAGGATTACAAGCGCTTCAGGAAATCTTGATCTATTTCACATCGTACGCACAGGAAACATAAGTGTTAACAGTGCGGCAGTTGCTACTGCATGCATGGGGTCTCATGTCATTCCTACTAGCATCATTAATCTGAACCAAGCCAGAAGTTGGTAAAAATTCTTCAGAGTCTCGGCGTAAGTGATACTAAGTGCCTCTTGAGCTTGAGGAAACTGCATTCCGAGAGCAAATTAGCGGCCAAGCTTCTTTTGTGTCTCTTGAAGCTACTTTTGTTTAACAATTCATTATCGCTTGCTAACGATAAGGTAACAATAAAATACCAAGTATCCTTAATTCACACCTGAACCATGAGTCAGGTATCAATATTACTAATAACTTAAAATAAACATGTACCCTATAACTAATTTTTTGCCATTGTGGTTGAAAGATTGGATTAGTCCAGTTACGAAAGTACGTGCTAGTGGTTCCCCGCTACAACTCTTTTCTGCTCTATCTCGGTAACTACATTCCTATTAGTTCCTATTTTCGCATTGTTCTATCACTGGCAAGTTGAAGCTATGAAGAATATTAACTTTTACAGCGACTGATAATCTCATTGTACAAATGTGCCAAGAGGAAATCTATTATATATATTTTTGAGCTAGATCCCATATGTGATCTCGAAAGGCAAATGAATAATCTAAACTCATTGTAATACCAACCAATGGACAATAAGCCTGCACCTATATAATGCACAGGACGTCTCTTGTTTCCTGATTAACTTTCTTGCCATATTACCCGGCCAAGGAGAGCCAAATTACACTTTAATGAACCAACTTGCGTGATTTGCGAGCCCGGCTCGCGGAAGTACCCACAGTTGCGCGTGGACAATGGCGTCTCTCGAGCGAACTAATCTCTGAACTTGATTAAAAGGAGTAGCCTGAGTAGGTACTTAATCATGTACAAGCTTCACGTCACAACGCCCATCATGGTGATTGGGTTTTCACGTGATGGTTGCCATAGTAATTGGTTTTTACATTTTGGATACTGTATTCAGGGGTTTTTGAATGGGTTTTGCTATCACACAAGGTTTTGAATGTTAGTTGATGTTATTAAAGGTTCTTTACAGGTAGTTTTTATGTTCAAAATTTCACACACGTTGGTATACATGATAACAAGTTCCTTATCTGGTATACGTTAAAAAATTAAGTATGGAAATTCTCATGTTTAAGAAGTTTTTAACAACTGTTGTGAAGCAAATTATCTAGAGGCTCATTTTCCAGTTGGTTTAAGGAAACCCATAATCGTTGCATTCATTTTTATCAGCACATTTTTGAATAACTATGTTAAAAACACATATCTTATTTGAAGACGGAAATCCTGTTCACTGGAACTATCAGCAATGTTACTCTGACAGAAGAACGTAAAGTGTTTCTTAACCAAATCGTTGAATCTTCCTCAACCGACGAGAATCAACGTCTTCAATCTCCTGCTGATGTTCAATAACGTTCACGTAAATCAGCGTCAAGCAGCGCTACTGTCAGCCGCGCTCCGCAATATACAGAGCGACACTTGATGCCATCCGCAGTAGAGCATTTGCCGAACGATTGATGGCTTTCCTCCTTAGACTTGATCGAAGACGTGAGAAAACTTTTAGTTCCATTAGGGGGCGCTCTTAATATCCTCTTCTGATCTTCAGCCTTTTAAAATTAATCTTGAGATTTGGGTAATGGATTTCCTATGTCTGCTCACCGCATTATTTGCATAGAGGAAAAAGAGTTCAACGTTTTTTCTCGATTCGATCGATGGAGCTTTAAGAAGATCTGAGTCGCTAGTAAAAATCACTTATGTTTTCAGAAATTGCTGTAATTGAAATTCTCTGAATTACTATTGAATTCAGTCTTATTGACGAACGAATGTTTTATTGCCGAAGTGATTTCCACTCTTCCGACTCTAATGCCAGATTGAAGATCTCAGAGTTTCCTTAGGGATATTGTTTTAGGCAGAAGAGAGCCATGTTTTATCAATGCTAAATCCTCGGTCAAAATTTAACGAATGCTAAGAACCAAGAAGAAACCAAGAAACCAAATTATGCAGAATTGAAACAAGAAAGTTTTTAATGTTCTATATGCTTTCTAATTTGTTATGCCACGTTTTATGAACTGCTTTCTATCGAATTTTCTTCTATATTGTCTTCGGAAAAAATATTGGGCATCGATCCTACAGCGGTAACATGATCTTGGAATGATATTTGATTTTTAATCCATATCACGTTGCGCATTCGTATTTTTAAATTTTCCTACCTCTTTCTATTTATCGACAACGAAGAAATGAAATGAATTTGTATTTATTGATTATTTACCTACTTTGACCATTACTTGATTATTTTCCCTTCCCGTCCCCGTCTCCAATATAATTATTATATTTTTCATAATACAACTGTTCATTTCTAAACCAATCACATAATAATTCCTGATCTCCTCCCTTCATGAAGCTGCGCGATGGCGCTGCTTCACCGCTTCGTGAAGCTACACGACCGTGGCAACACGCACGTCTTCAGCTTCGTGGTGACACGCAGCGTGACGCGAGACCTTCACCGCGACGTTACGAGCAAAGAACTCACCTATGGATATCAACGCTGGGCAATAACGTTCTCGAGAACCGACAAGCTTCTCGGTGTGTACTTAGTATGGCGCAACCCCTGCGACGGCATGAGGGTATACATCGACTTTACCTTCACCATACTCAACCGCGAACACTTCAGTGTCAACGAAGCCTTTACGGGGAAACAAGTCAAATTTACATTAGATTCCCCTGCCCAAGGCAACCGGCGTCTTATCACGATGGATGATCTCTATTCGAGGAATTTTACGGACGAAAATGGTGAATTTCAGTTGGAGTTGACCGTCGCCAACATCAGGACCGTTTATGAAACGGAGCTACGGATTCCGGCCGCTGCAAACGGCACTATGTCTCCCAGGAAAGAGATAAAGGTCAGTGCCAAAACAGCGCGCAAAATATCGCCAGCAAGCGCAAGAGATAAGAGCGAGCGGATGTGAGAATTTTTATTTGTTACCCTCCATAAAATATTTGCGCTGCGTTGGAGCTTATCTGTAGCAGTTTTAATATCCTAGGGAATATTGTTGTAATGTTTGAGTTGAAAATAGAACTTTTAGGGGTAACTTTCACGTATTTTGAGCCAGAACAATATTTCAGAATTGGGTGTTAACATAATTGCCTGAATTGTGGTATTTCAGAGTATTATCGGTCCCCTGACTTACGTAAATTAATTTTCATTACCCATGCATGAAATGAATTTTTCCTTGCATAGAAGTTTTTCCCGAACAAGTTTCCGAAATAGGTATTCTTTTACTATTATTCCTCATCTGAATCAATTAATAGACGATCGTTATTTGAAGAATACTAACATTTTTCTGTACACACAATAATTGATCCTAACTTTATCCATTTATCTTTTTTTACTCGTGTCATACCGAGCCAGCTACATCGATCTATTCCTAACTTTACTCACGTTTGCCTGGTCGTCACTCTTTTACGCTTAACTTTCCTTGCGTTTTCCCTAGTTTTGCTTCACCATTTCATGATTTGCTTTACGTATATTATTTATTTTTTTTATGCTTATCCTAAGTCGTGTTTTACCAGGCCAGCTTCACCCTTTTACGCTTAACCCAAGTCGTGTTTTACCAGGCCAGCTTCACCCTTTTACGCTTAACCTAAGTCGTGTTTTACCAGGTCAACTTCACCCTTTTACGTTGCACCTAAGTCGTGTTTTACCAGGCCAGCTTCACCCATTTACGCTTTACCAAAGTCGTGTTTACTGGGATAACTTCACCATTTTAGGTTGCACCTAAGTCGTGTTTTACCAGATTAGCTTCACTATTATATTCTTAACTTTACTCACGTTCCCCCGGTGCAGCTGGAGTCTCCGTACTTCCACTTCGGCCACTACGACTGGCACGTCGCTGTGAGCAGCAGCTCTGGGCTCCAGGGCAGACCCTCCGTCACCCTACGACGGCTCACGGGGTTTGATCATCAGTGTAGGGTGAGGTGAGTCACGGGGAAGTGGGGTGAGTCTCGGGCTAGACGGTGAGTCACAAGATGCAGGGTGAGCTGAGTCACGGGGGAGTTCGGTTAGTCACGGGGTTGTAGGGTGAATCACGGAGGTGTAGGATGAGGTGAGTACAATGTATTGAGTGTGATTCATAAGGTGAATAAGATGAGTCTCAGGGTGTAGGGAAATGCGACATAAGTGGATGAAAGGTGATGTGATTCACAAAAGCAATCCCGGTGGCACTACTGAGTGTATAATAAGTTACCTGTTTCAGAGGGACTTTTTGGAAGTAGGGTAGATTGTTCCTCAATCCACTAGATTCACTAATCTACGCATAAATATTTCAGTCTCCCAAATCTCTCAGGGAACTCCGAAAGTGTTCAAATCGACCTCTAATTAGTGAAAAAATCCCGGATTAAACAATATTTGGTCCCGTGAAAAGTGAGGTTTCGGTCGATGTCGGACAAGGAGCGACACGGACGTCTACTGAAATATTCTTGAGCGACATGTCCGGTTCTATCTTCCAGGGGCCGTACTGTCAAAAATAATTGCAACTTCGTACCTCCGTCAGCCAATCACTGACCATTTTGAAGCTAACTCTACCAATCACAGACTGAAATTGGCCGCTACGTGTACTTAGGTCGCTACGTGTACTATGGCCGCTACGTGTGCTATGTCCGCTACGTGTACTATGGCCGCTACGTGTGCTATGTCCGCTACGTGTACTATGGCCGCTACGTGTACTATGGCCGCTGTGTGTTCTTAGCACGCTACGTATACTTAAGTCGATACGTGTACGTAAGTCACTATGTGTACTTAGGTCACTACGCGTATTTTAGCGATTTCACGGGTACTGCAGGGCTTCCGTGTTTACCTCAAGGTTGATCGAACGATGCTGAATTATATGAGTTTTTCCTTGATTTTGATTCATTTATATGCAAGCTTTAAACAAATATCCAGTTAACTTGAAGCCCCTCAGGCATCTAAATTGGAAATAACATTGATTTTACGCTGTTACAAGAAACTATATAAATACTGTTATTTAAAAATAATGTTATTTCATTAACATTTAACGTTTTTTGCCTGGAGGTATTAGAGAGTTGAATATTTAGATACTAAGAAAGCTTGTAAATATTTACAAAAAATATTTTAAAAGTTTTCTGATATTGAATGTAAAATTTTAATATACCTTGTAAAATATTGCAGATATTTGGTTGTGCTGGGAGAGGCAGACAAGAGGGCCGACTCTGGAATTTTGGACCAGCTTTCTGACCAGGAAGGACGGACTCCAGGCTGGACGTGCTCCAGGAATAGGATGCTCGACCTCGTCCAGAAAGATAAACTAAGGTACAGTATATCTCAAGTTCAGTTATTGATTATCAGTTTAGTTACTCATATCTTCAATTGAATTATCACCAATTATCACGAAAATGAAATAATTTTCAAGTCGGAAAATTTCTGTTAATGCATGCAATCAATCGTGTAAAACTTTAATTTCATTCCCGTTCGTAATATTCTCAGACTTTTGATCATTTAGAAATGTCGACCATATTTTCTAAATGTCTGTAGTGTTAATATCTGAATTTGTTGAAAATTTTGAAGAAATCTTATCATTGGCTAAGTTTGACCTCAATTTTGACGTCTCGTATTTGCATTTTCGAATTGGGACTCAGTCTTAAGAGGAACCATGTCTAAATTAAGATACTCATCAAACAAAACTCACATCATATCATTTACCGTTACGTGACCACTGTAAATCTTATGTCAATGGACATACCGAAAACAGTCATTTATATATTTATTCCACTCTGCTATATATCGTTTCAATTGGATAAGAAACATTAATCTAAAAACTGATTATCCCAGACTGTACTTCGAGATGATTTTAGCCAACACAACAAGCGAGGTGAAGCTGCAACCCGTGGCTAGTCACGTCACTCCAGTCCAGTGCTACGACCGCGACAAGCAGGCCTGGGCTCTCGAGCCTGACTTGCACTCCGACATGTTGCGCTTCCGTATCGTCTACAACGCAATCCACAATGTCCCTCGCAACCATCTCAGGTACGGAGAATAATTATGTAACTAAATAATTAATTTATAATTAGTAATTGATAATCATCTCTGACATTGTGATGGCAATTCAGTTATATACGTGTAGTCTTCCGCATCCAACTCTGGGAAGCATTACGATTATGTCATACTATGTACCCTAAATAGCAGGTGTATGGAACTCTAGGTAAGTCTTTGGTAATAAGCGCTTCGCTACCAACTTAGGTACGGAATTTTATAATTTAATTCAATGCACAATAATTTTTTAGGACATGGAACTCTCTCTTATCGTGTATTTTTTACGCAGCATCGTTAGGTCATGCAATGCATAACAAATACTTGTCGAGTGGAACTCATGTGAAGTCAGAGATTATTATAGCTTGGGAAGCTTATTGATCCAATGTTTTTTCATAAAAGAGTCCCGACCTACGCATTATTGTAAATTTAAATTACACAATATCCGGACATTTCTCTGTGGTTTATCATGCATACTTAATCACCGTTGTGAAACAAAACATTATAATGGCGTTCCTCGTATGCTTGTAGTTTACTGAACGTAAAAGAAGTACCATGAATATTGATGGCAATTACGTGGAATCAATTACATTAATGGGAAAATTTTTCAAATCAATATTTGATGTGTGACGGCGACAGAGCGATGTGATTAGAGTAATTTCAAGCTGCGACTCTCATATATGAATCGGATCACGAATCTTAATATAATGAATTAACATATCTAGCAGTATAAATGATTGCTCTGCATGAATCCACTCACGCTAATCTAGTTTAGAGTTATTGAACTTTACGGCAATCTATTGCCGTAGAGGTAAGTTAAAATATTGTATATGTAAAGGTAAGATAGTGTATAACATTTTATTTGAAAAATCGGAATCAAAACGTGCCTTATTTCGTAGCAAGCATATATACTCGTGATTAAATTGTTGAACAGTGGCAATAACAATTATGAACTCAGAAAAAAAATTTTGGGGGTCGCAGTTACTTTTGCGAGTACGAAGTGTGTAACAGATTTCAGATATCGTATGAAAGTGTTATATTATGCGTATTATTTCAGCTACTTTGTTATTTTATCAGCTTAATGCGGCGTTACTCCCGATATAAATATCTCAATAAAATATAAAGATCTTAAATATAGATTTGTATAAATAGAATATATATCTTCGAGATTCGGGAATTCTATCATCGGTAATCGTGTTAGTGGGTTAGCATGCTTCCCATTCAAGTCGGCACGATCCATGCAACTTTTATTATGAAATATCATGCAACTTTTCAATCAGGGTTTCGCACACCCGCGGCTATTTGGCAAAAGCTCAACATTAAAATGAATTAATGAATGGAATTAATATATTAATATATGCCTATCATCTTATTTAGTTGGACTAACGAAGTTTGGACTCTGCTGATCGTTTTATTTTTTGTTGGATTTTGAAAGCTTCAGTTAATAGAACTTTCCCGTTTCGATAATCAACGTTGCTGTTGGGTCATACTAAAGTCGACTGCTTGGGTTACCTCTGCAAAGTTAATATAAAAAAGTTTGAATTAGCATTAAACATGAAAATCTCATTCAAATATCTTTTCGAAGATTGAAGGAACTTTGACTTCTATAAAAAATTTAATGTATCAAATAACAATTACAAATCCCCAACCTTCTTCATATTTCTTTTAATGCCTGTTGATTCATCGAAAAATCAAATAAGATTTGCATGATACGATGGCAAATGTTATATGTATGCTCTACTTCTCGTAGTTTCACTGAACTAGGCTCCCAAAACACGCACACCAAACAAAATAACCTTTAAAAATATGTAACAGATTATTAACAGATAATATATAACAGATGCCACACGCACAAACAAAAAACATTCACGAATTTGCAAGAGATTGTGATCAAATAATGTAAAACGGATTCCACACACACACAAACAAAAAACTCTCACATATATGTAAAAAACGATGAACAGATATTATAAAACAGACGCCAGAAACACTAAAAATTATAACTCAGTACTCACTGCAGTGAGTGACAGAGAGCGCATTTTCTCGTCGACGAAAACGTGAAGTGGACAGACGTGTACAGACGGACGGACGGACATGGCGAGCACAATGGCGCTTTTTTCCATAAATGAGAAAATGAGCTAAAAAACGTTCAAAAATTGCATAACATATTTAAAGACATAATAACATAATATGTACCACACGTACCCCACAGGTACGTGTGTTGGAACGCATACCTGCTACGTCGCGCGTCCCGTGGCCTGGTGGACAGCGTGTGCCTGAGCAACGGTCCCTTCAGCAACTACTACGCCCAGGAGAGCAGCGATGACGGCATCATCATGGAGAGTGACATCCCTGTGTCTGAGGTGCCGTAGCCAACATAATTGAGATTAAACTGTTATTTTCTTGAGATTAGTTACTATCAGATACTATTACTATAGATACTATTACTATACTTACTATAGATAGATACTATTCATACTATACTATACTATAGATACTATTCATAATTATTAATAATAATAATTATGATAAGCGTGATGTAACGATTATTTTTTTGGTATTTCTGAATTATAATGAGGCTGAGCTATTGATAATCGTGATTTAATGATTATTATTTAGATCATCATGGAGAGCGACATCCCTGTGTCTGAGGTGCCGTAGTCAAGATAAGCGTGATAAAACGATTGTTTTTTGGTATTTCTGAATTATATTTAGGTCGAGCTATTGATAATCGTGATTTAATGACTATTTTTTAGTTCTAATGAGATCGAGATATTGGTTCTCTTGTTAATAACGGTATTTCCTAGTTCTAATGAGACCGAGCTACTGGTAATCTTATTTATAACGGTATTTTTGAGTTTTAATGAGAACGAGGTGCAGGTAATCTTAATTAGAATGGTATTTTTGAGTTCTAATGAGAACGAGGTGCTGGTAATCTTGTTTATAACGGTATTTTTATAATGAGAATGAGGTTCCATGCAACTTTTATTATGAAATATCATGCAACTTTTCAATCAGGGTTTCGCACACCCGCGGCTATTTGGCAAAAGCCGAACATTATAATGAATTAATGAATAGAATATAATAAATTAATATAGGCTTATAACGTTATTCGGTTGGACTAAGAACGTTTAGACTCTGCTGATTGTTTTATTTTTTTATGGGATTTTGAACGCTTTAGTTAATAGAACTTTACCGTTTCAATAGTCGACGTTGCTGTTGGGACAGATTAAAGTCGACTGCCGGGGTTACCTCTGCAATGTTAATATGAGAAAGTTCGAATTAGCATTTAACATGGAAATTTAATTCAAATATCATTATGCAGATATAAGGAAAATTCTTTTATTAAAAATTTAATGTATCAAATAGCAAATATGTATTCCCATCCATCTTCCCCTTTTTTTAATGCCTCCTGATTCATCAAAAAATCAGATGTGTGCGATAACCTGATACGATGGCAAATGTATATATATGCTCTACTTCTTGTATCTTTACTGTACTAGGCTCCAAAAACACGCCCATCCAAGAAAATAACCTTAAAAATAAAAGAACATGTAATAGACTGTGATCAAATAATGTATAACGGATTTCACAACACAAACGAAAACTTTCACATATATATAAAAGACGATGATTAGATAAGGCATAACAGGTGCCAGAAACACTAAAAAAATATAACTCAGTACTCACTGCAGTGAGTGATAGAGAGCGCATTTTCTCATCGACGAAAACTTGAGGTCACGGACGGACGAACGGACAGACGGACAGACAGGCAGACGGACATGGCGAGCACAATAGTGCATTTTTTCCATAAATGAGAAAATGCGCTAAAAACGTTCAAAAATTGCATAACATATTTAAAGACATAATGGCATAACACATACCACACATACCCCACAGGTACGTGTGTTGGAACGCTTACCTTCTACGTCGCGCGTCCCGTGGCCTAGTGGACAGTGTGTGCCTGAGCAACGGTCCCTTCAGCAACTACTACGCCCAGGAGAGCAGCGATGACGGCATCATCATGGAGAGCGACATCCCTGTGTCTGAGGTGCTGTAGCCAAGATAATTGAGATTAAACGATTGATTTTTTGGTATTTATGAGTTATAATGAGGCTGAACTATTGATAATCGTGATTTAATGATTATTATTTAGTTCTAATGAGACCGAGATATTGGTTCTCTTGTTAATAACGGTATTTACTAGTTCTAATGAGACCGAGCTAATCTTATTTATAACGGTATTTTTTAGTTTTAATGAGAATGAGGTGCTGGTAATCTTGATTAGAATGGTATTTTTGAGTTCTAATGAGACCGAGATATTGGTTCTCTTGTTAATAACGGTATTTACTAGTTCTAATGAGACCGAGATAATCTTATTTATAACGGTATTTTTTAGTTCTAATGAGAACGAGATGCTGGTAATCTTGACTATAACGGTATTTTTGAGATATAATGAGACAGAGCTACTGATAATCTTGTTGATAACGATATTTTTTAGTTATAATGAGACCAGGTACTGGTTATCTTGTTTATAACGGTATTTCTGAGTTCTAATGTAAATTAGGTACGGCAGTTAAGAAAATTATGTTTTTCATGGTATTGGTGAGTTTTAATGAGACCGAGGTAGCTGCACTATCATGTCACCACAGGTATTCCTGTGAGTAATTTTGATTTTCAGCAAGAACTTTATGATTTTATGAGAATTTGTCAATAACGTTAATGAAAATTAATGTAGAAATGAACGCTATATTTATTATTGGTTATACTTCAAAGCTAATAATAATAATTATGATAGGTTTATGTTGTATTATGATAAAAATAATCAAGGACGAGATTGAAGAACGCCTATAATTTTTAATTACAATATGATAATTAAGTTTAATTAGTCCGCTCAAACCAGGTTCAGTTCTTAATAGTACTGAAATGAAAATAAAAATGGTCGAATTAATATTATTGATAATAGCATTCACTATACTTCGCCTGCAATGTAATAAAAAATAAAGGGCAAAATAAAAAAATCATCCTATAAGTGCCACATTTATATATTATAATAAATATATATTGTTAATATATAATAAAATACATATTCCGTGTCGTGCTCTAACATTTCATGATGAGTCAGAACTGCTGCAGTGACGATCAATGATTTAATCATCGTGTGCAATATTAATTTTAATTATGTATTGTTTATTTAAAAACTTTCGAGGTCATTCCAGGGATGAATAAGTAAATATGCACATATTCAGGAGGTTACAAGAACTTGAACATTATTTTTTGGTATTATAAACAATTTGTCCTATGCAATCGTAAATCATTTAGATATATTTTCTAAAATTTCTTACACAATATTTATGAAAGCGTGATTTAATTAGCAAAATTTGTGATGAACTATTCCTGAATTATCGATATAAATACCAAGCGACTTACACTCATAAAAATGAATGGGATTTGATCCGAATAGTGAAATATTTATTTATATTTCTTGCCAGAACAAACTGACTTAAGATTACCCAAGCAAGGCAAAATGTGTCTCACTCCTCGGACAAAATCTCACACATTTCTCTGAGTGATAAAGGTTAAAGCTAAAAAAATTCTCTCGTAAGCGAAATCATAATGTGATTCATGCCAATTGATAATTAATAAATATTCACATTACTCACCCTCAGGTGCGTGAAGGCACGAGTCAGTACGTGGATGAGCGCAAGGAAGTAACACTGCAGGTGGAATGGGTAGAGTCGCTCCTGCTCTTCCAGTCAACCTACAGTAAATACGATGACGTCACACGCATGCACAACTTCCAAATGAGGTGAACATACAGGCTTCCGTCGTTATATTTTAATTTTTAGGATAATTAATAGGAAGGTTGATTAGTTTTTCAGGTAGGAAAATAATTGATTAAAATTCACAACTTCCATTTAAGGTGAACATATAGGCTTCCGTCCTTATATTGTAATTTTTAGGATAATTAATAGGAAGGTTGATTAGTTTTTCAGGTAGGAAAAGCATTGATTAAAATTCACAACTTCCATTTAAGGTAAACATACTGGCATCTGTCTGTGCACTTAAAAATTTTCTGTGATTAATTTGAAAATCAATTCAGTGTTCAGGCGGAAGAAGCATTAATTCGAATAAACAAACTCATTATTTTGAAACATTTGTAGATTTTAGAAAATAAGACAATCTTTTTGGGAACCTGATTTATTTATATAGTTATAATAAGGCCGGAAATGTCAAAAACTTCTTCGATGCCTAAAAATGAGCAAATAATACTATCAAGATAAGAGTTTAAATGAATTGAAAAGTTCAATTATTTGGAATTTCGACGGTATTGTCTACATTTTTCGCAATGGATCAGCAGAATTTTTAGAAGAATATTTCATAATCTGATTATTCTGCACCCCCATTGGATTAAAATTATTATTGCTTTCATTGTTAGAATATATCTGTTTTTATATAACCATCTCCCAGTCACAGGAAAATAAATTTGTCGTGTCTGCGCTCAACTGACATAAATAAAACATAAATATATATGAATATATAAGCCACGTTTCAATTTAAGGCGTTCGTCTCGTTCGTTTATTTTATGAAATTTCAAAATATTTCGTCATGATCACTTAAACGACGAATATAACAAAAGCACCTACATCAAGATACAAATAATTATTATTAGCTTTGATTAAGTGAGACGCTCGGTATATAGTTCAGCGAGTTGAGTATAGTTAACCAATACAAATGACATATTGCGATATAATATTCAATAAGGTGGGTATAATTCATGATAACATACGATATACGCATTGCAAATGTGGTGATATGATCAGGTTATAGTTGAATGAAGTGAATTTAATATTGCGGTGAGATCATCATTATAATATTTATGAAGGTGAGTGTAGCTTAATAAAATACACCCTGTATTTTGATATTTTGAACCGTAACTGTAAGCAGGTCTGACACATGATTATTGTGTGTGTGTTAATGTGTGTTAATCACTCAATTACGACCCTATTTTTGCAGTATTATACACACCTGCACAGTATACTTGAATGTTCCTCATTATACCGGCTTTTCCACATTCATTATTTCAAAGGATTTTCTGCTCATTTTTTCCTGTGTGTTTTTATACAACGTTATTTTATTTTTCCCACCTCAATGAAATCTTAGAATTAAATCGGTACCACTTCGGAAAAGGTTTCGTAACGGTTACTTTCTTACCAGGGTTGATGAATCACCTCGGACTTTTTTTGCTTAACTAAAACTTCTTCTTTAATACTCAATCTAAACAATATGGAAATCGCACTTGGTTCGTAAATAAATTGAATTTGAAAAGACAATCCGTTCAGGGGATTACTGAAATTTTTTCGTATCGCGTGTACATTGACACGTTTAACCTCTTCCAAGGTAATTGCTTACCTACAATTTGCACCAAATATGTTTTCAATAGACCGAAAATATCATCAAAAATCCAGTGCTTGATTATGATTATATAAAAAAAATTATTGATTGATTATAAAAAGCCAAAGAATTTCCACGAAGCTGATTTTTGCCGAAATATTTTGTGCAGTTTATGTTAACGTCTTACTTATTCACACGAGGTTTAAGTAATGAAACTCCCCCATATGCAATTGCCCTTAGCAAGGTTAAGCCCGATACTATATGGTCGATATTACATTGTCCATCATGAATGGTATCATGTGAGAAACTGTAACTTCATTTAGCTTATTTTTAGAACATCACAAGTGATGTAATAATTTGTGAAGCAATAATTTGTTATAACCGAAGAAAAATCTCTCTTGTTCTGGCGAGGACAACAAAAGTCGTTTGATTTTTTGGTACGACGATTTGACCAGATTTATTGCCGCCAACTACGAGATTCGTAAAGAAGCAGATTTCGATATGTATATATAAACACGAAGTTTATCATTTCAAAAGCACTACAACTAGAAATCCCTTCACGTTTAGACTTGTCTATTCACACAAAGAAACCGAGAACAGGAAATTTAGCAGAGACTGCAGCATCCCCCGTGCACATAAGCAGAGGGGAAATGTTCCAAAAAATACATAACAGCTAAAATAATTTTTCCATCATTGAGAGAACTGGCACATTATTTCTAGAACTTTTCCAGCGTTTTCCTGTTCTCGTCTTAACCCTCACCCTTTTCGTGCTCTGCCCATATATGTCCGGTTCACTCATGTCTAGTATAATGTTCCTCTATGTGTTTTTCAGTGTTTCTAAATGTTTAATAGGCGTTTATGTTTAATTCAACGTGTCCATAAAACTATCCGTGCTTCTAAATGTTTTACGGGATATTATTGTCTATATTGGTGCAGTTAGGTAAATACTGCCCTTCCACCAATGTCTGCATTTATTGGCCCGCGAACCTTAGCAAGTATTCGGGGATTGATTAACTCCGATCGAATAGAAGGAATTTGGTGATTTTCAATAAATGTTCCGTTTCATTCACCCACAAATCGAGCCTAAATTTTTCATCTTCGTAAATGACTCGATTCATGCAAGAAATAATGTAACGTGATTCACATTGACACTGCAGTTGCAGTGACAGTATTCACATTGACACTGCAGTTGCAGTGACTCAGGTTGGTAAGGCGCAAGAGTTTAAAGGATGCGCAGCATACAGTTGCGGTCATCCTAGCTACGGATGCTTTATAGGAGATGCCACACAGTCGATAAGTCGGGGAAAATCGATCTAACTTCAATAGAAAGTTGACAATTTTTTTAATGAGTGACCATTCTAAACACCACGGCGAGCTTTTGAAATGATACGACTAAAGGCGAGATACGACAGTGTGGGCTCGCGTGGCTGTTGCACATGTGTAAGCGTTCCATATTCTTCCTCTGTCTCGAGCAGGAAGAGTCACGGTCACTTCTCTGCAGAGGGGCTACCGCCTTGTTATCAGTCGGCTGGCAAGCAAGGTCTTTCGAAACTGTCAGTTGAAGGGGGTGGGAAAGTGGGCAAGAGTCCCCACGTTGATGGGGGTGCGAAGGGGAGCAGAAGCCCCCAACCACAGAGGCCAACACATCTTCTTACTCCTACTTCCACCTTTCCTCGATCCTCTTCTATCAAATCTGCCTCTGCCTCTCCATCCTGTGCCACTTCCCCTCAAACCTCTCCTGGCAGCAGCGCAAGCACGGCCAAAAGGTTCTATCTCCTATTCATCATTGCTTTCATCGCTTGAGTTTAGTCTTCCTTTAGTGTAGTAGCCGCGTGTCTTTACCCAGCAAACATAGGCCCTAGCAGCCCTGTTCGAGATGGCCTCGAATGCTTCACCAAACTATGAGAAAGAAACGCTTATAACGAGATAGGTTGTTTGGATTTGGCCTGCTGGCAGACAAGTTCCAACATGCACATGTTTGCTGGGTACTCAACCTGTCCTACTTCCTTGGTGTCGTGATTGTCGTTGGTTTGTTAAGAAATACATGTGGATTGTGAGGGCTGCTCTCTCTAACAGCTGCGTTGACAAGGGCCTTCCTTGTGTAATAAACTCCTCCGCTCTGTTTACCCGAGTAAAAAAATAAAAATGGTCTCAAATCACTTTATCTCATAATCACTTTATCTACACTGCTCGTTGACCCAAACGATTAATATTACGATCGTATTCAGTATTCTCATGAAGACTAAACCGTTCATAAATTGCTGTCGTAGACTAAAGAGTAGTTTGATGTTGTTAAGTTAATAACTTCTTCAATTCCTCTGCTGATTTAGATGACTTCTGTAATTCCTCTGCTGAATTTATATTCTGTGGAGCAATGACATACTTGTATTGATAAAACTTAGTTTCATGAGCTCCAATAGACCAACGAAACGAAGCCAGTATAGACAGTTGCAGGCAGCGGAACATCGATTATGAGCATCAGTGCTCATAAAATGTGGAAATTTACAGGTTGGTTTTTAACTCGTATAAATTTTCAGTTTCCCAAGAGTTAGAATATATTTTGTTTAGTTCTTCTCCCAACAATCGAACAATTTCCTGAGGCTCATGTAAGGTTCAGAAATAGGATGAGTTGTTAACAATTTTCTGGAACCTCTCGCTCAGAACGCCGTCCCTGTCCTCCACAACTTCATTGTGCTTTCTTTCTCTATAGTGCGATTATAAAGTACAATTAACACAAACTACAACTTAGAACAAATTATCAAATTGAAACGCTTCCAAAAAAGAAACGGAAAAGCAACCGGACAGAATGATTTCGACTAATGTCGCTTATATTCGACATAGCTTGTTCAGAGCGATTAAAATTTGTAACATGTATGTTTAGAGGTATTGTCCTCTCTATGTAAATTCCTTGTGATATTTGTTAATGTGTTCTTCATTTGTGATGTTCTAACCAAAATCGAATTACCAGTCTCGTGAATTTCCTCATCCTTCCATGCGTCTTCTTTGCTGTCGTTGTCTATAAGTTTCCATCACTTATCTTGCATTCATGCTACTAATTTGTTAAAATAGAAATGGCACAGTCAAATAACAACGAATAAAATAACAATAGTTATTCATCGAAAAATTATGATACATACAACTATATCATCCTATTTTCACACGAAAAAGGAAAATGTAAAATTTACACAATTATTGAATGGAAGTGAAGCAATTATTTCCAGACCATTAAATCTTTTAAAATCATAAATCAAATCAACATTATATGGAACTAGTGTTATTATTAGAGTTTGCATCATTTCAGTAAGCACTTATAGATCAATGAAAAATGTAGATCAACGAGTAATTACGAGTTTTAACCTTGGTAGAATTGAATGTATTAAGATTAATCAAATATATAAAAATCAGTTAACCAAATTTTGGGGAATTAACTGCGCCATTGTTCTATTAACAGTCGCAAAATTTCGTAGACTTGGAGCGTTGCTGAAATAAAAGTCGATCCTAACTAACACTAAGATTACGTTTACAGGCGATCATTCGGAGCTCCTTGTTTTGTTTCTTCTTGAAAGTGGGACTTAAGTCAAAATATAATCCAAGCTGTACTTCAAGGAGAAAAATCATCACCAAAGACCCCAAACGAGAATCAATCAGGTACTTCTTTAGGAAAGAGTTCTCCAATCCCTCCGAGCTTGTGACGACCGTAAAAGGCGTCAACCTTCCAACTTTTTCCTAAAGCATCTGTACAAACTAAACACTTACAGCCTACAAGTTCAAGGCAACTTTCAGATGACAAGTTTTCTAATCCTTAGAATCTTTTGAGCCTGTTCTAAAGCATTTATTGAATTTTTGCTTAATTTCTAACACCTTGACAAGAAAGGATTTCGATGTATTTATATTTCAGCACGACTTCCTAAGGCGAATCTTGACTGAAACGTAGGATTCCTGAAGAGAGTTCAGCGGGAGTGGGAGTAGCCCCTGAACTAAAAACGTTTATTTGTAGCGAGGATTTGTTTGTTATATATTATATCGAACAAGATCGAGTTTACGTAGCTGTTTCGACCACTTTTAATTATCAGAAGAAAAACATATGGTGTTTGTTGCACCGATCATGTAGTTCGTCATTTAACGTGAATGATCAATGCGGTTGAAAGCTTGTGTAGTTTAGAATGCACTATCAGTAAAAATTTCGCAATTATTGCTCGGTTGGGAAATGATTAATAGTTATCCTTCAATTGGTCTTCCTGCATGAAAAATGTACATTGAAATTCTATTACATGCATAATCGTAGGGAATGTGCCAGTGTCATGGAATCAAAGTCGCTGAAGCATGGCGCGTTTGTTTGTTGTTCAAATAGGCATGACAGTCTATAGTAGTTTAGCTGCATATATTCTTAATCCTTGAATTGTTCATGTATGCTTATAGTCCTAGAAGTTTTTCAAGTATGCATGTAAGGGTAATTCTATTTAGCTGTTTTGCTTAGAATTCAAATTCTAGATAGTGGAACGTAAATAATTTTCAGTTCAAGTTTCCACTAGATTTTTTGTGGTCGTATGCAAATATTGAATAAGCTTTTGGTCGTTTATAAAGCTTGTGTTATCACGCATTTGGTTATATAGAAGAGCTAATGCAAACTTTGATACAAACGAAGTGTATTACATTATTTACGAATTTTGAACCTTTGTACATTGGCGGCGAAATTTACTGCTGTATGTATTGCACAGCTTTTATCTCATTCCCTTTGCAAAGTTTAAATGTATTCGTTTGCTTTGAATTTAACTTTTTCAACAAATTAGAGTTTTCGAGGCATCTGATCTTGCATAATATTCTTTCTTTCCACAGGCGAGAAATCACTGCTTTGGAGGCTGAGAACTACAGCTTGGAAAGACAGTTATTCAGTTACCAGAAAAGTTTAGCGTACACTCAATCTCGAGGCCCTAGCTATGTTGAAGATGCTCGTTCCTACCCGCCGGAAAGCCATCCAAATTACCCGGAGGAAACTGCTCAAAATGAGTACCAAGAGGGAGCATCTGACGCACGAGGAAGTTACTTTTTACGACCGGCCGCGGACGCTTCTGGATACCAAACACCTAACCTAAGTTATGCGCCGGAACACGGAGCCGAGTATCTCCGGCCGACCACGCCTAGTTTCCAACCTGGTGAACAAGTTTTCCAGTCTGGTGTTTACGCTAACGGTAAGAGAGATTACGATGGGCGTGACTACACCACTCTTGCAGGCACTAAAGCCAATTTTGATGCTAGGGAATTCCAAAACAACAAGAAAGAAGCAGAAGGTCGAGACTTTGGCAACACCAAGAGAGAATACGAGGCTCGTGACTTCAATCCACGAGCTTTCGAGTACGAAAACTATGACGGGAATTTCCCTCCAGAATCTGATTTCGCTTGAGGGAAAATCGAAACATAGTTTAATGTAAATAAATATTTTCTTTATAACTATCAACAAAAAGAATCTTAGATGGGCATCATGTTTATTCTTGGTTCCTCAAATGTGGCATTTGGATTCGAAGTACAAAGCAAGGCTAGAACATGCACACGGTTGAGAGTTCTCTGAGAAGTGCGCGTTCAGTTCTAGCAATAGCATTAGTGACTTTTAATGATTATGTTCCCCAAAGTAAGAATATAGTACGAATCTCAAGATCAGAACTCAAATGTCAACGATCTATCATAGCAAGGATATTTTATCAGTAAAATAATCATCTATCGTATATTTCCTAGATATCGTATCTACACAGTATATAGCCATCTAGGATATAATAAGCTATAGCCAGAGAAAATTATTTTTAGTCTAAGAATCAGATATTCACCGCAAATATTATGGACTGGCTAGAACGTATAACAGGCGCACAACTTTGCTCTGCTCGTTTTTCAGTGTCGTATTCTTTTGTGTGTTGGGTGCTACAGCTGTCCTCCTGTAATATATTTATTGGCTCCTAGAACCTTTGAAAATGCACCAACTTCCTCTTTGATTTTGCTTACGGTACTTATTTTGAATGGTTAGAGTCCGGTAATTAAACTTCAATCAGCATACCCTATGCGCTTAATCGTACGAACCTTTACATTACGTAGTAGCAGTGCTTAAAATAAGAAGTTCCAAAATCGCTGCAATTTAGGCTTATAGGAGAAGAGAAAGAGGGAATCTGTTTTCGAACTTTCTTCTCCTACATTCAAACATTGTAGAAAGAATTACAGGATTTTTGTTTTATCCTATGCATTAACAATAACTGCTGTTATTTATTCCAAACGCCTAGAAGTAGAAGAAATGTACGAATAACGAGGTACTTTGAATATATTAGTTTTTTCCAAAGTTAATTTTTATTTGAAGTATTTTTTACAATTATTTTAATTACTATTGATTTAGGCCCAAAAACCTATATGTTTACCCATACCCCGATTCCACGCGAAAATATTAGTTTAATAGTCATGACAAATATTCGCATGACACATATTGAGAATAGTCATGACAAATTCTCGATCGCATCCTAAACGATTGTCAATTGTCCTCACGAGTCAAATTGTATCCATAACAGATGAGGGTGAATATTCGAAATCAGTCTTCCTTCTGTTCCATCTTTCACGTCGGCATTTAAGGACCCAACATTATACAGTAGATAGGTTCAGCTTACTAAATTTGTTTTAAATATTACCATTCTTGAAGCTACCAATAAACCTCTGTTAAGATAAAAATAGCTCGTTTTTAAAGTAGATATCATTAAGGATCAGCGTTGCGTCCCAACCTAAGACAACTTGTTCGTATCAAAATATTTATCATTGCATGCCCCCCTTGCCCTAAAAACTTGTTTGAGGACCGATCCAAAAACCAAGTGACGCGAGATCCGGGCGCGTTCAGTGGGATAAGTTCGAACGTCAAACAACCAAATAAAAATATATATAACTCAGTACTCACTGCAGTGAGTGACAGACAGCGCATTTTCTCGTCGACGAAAACGTGGTCACGGGCGGACGGACAGACAGACAGACGGACATGGCGAGCACAATAGTGCATTTTTTCCATAAATGAGAAAATGCGCTAAAAAGTATGTGAATACAAAACAGTTAGAAGATTGAATATCTTAAAAATGGCAAACAATGTTTTTCTTCGAAGTTTGTCAGCGAAGAGTTCTAAAACCAACTTCTCAATTAACCAAAATCTTGAATAAACCAAACCATGTTTTCCGACTTACAATTTTTAAGATCGTCCCTCTGTAGGTGCAAGTCGAGTTACTAGGAGTAATCGATCCAATTTACTCGATACTATAAGATCTCACGAACTGTTCTGGTGCCATTGCTACACCCATAACCGGTGTTTTTATGTACCAGTCTATTATTGTTAATTAATTTAATAATTAAAAATTAAATTTAAATCATAGTTTAGCATAGGGGCATCGAGGTTCTCAAATGCACAGTTGAGAGCGATCTAGATTGTTCTTTCCCGTTGCAGCTCGAGAACATATTTTTCGTTTCCGCTCGAGAATAATTTTTCTGTTCCAGCTCGAAAATTCCTTTGCGATGTCTTCAGTAGTATAAAAAATATCAATGATACGCTAAAAAATGTGAATCATTGAAGTTTGAAGCCTGATTTTGCATAAGAATTATCTTAATAAACATGCCACTAATTTAAACGAAATATCTGGATCGAAACACAAACATTGTATACTAAAAAGGCATATTTGTGATATATACTTTACACTCATTCAGGCAATACTACACTAATAATAAAAGTGTATCTTACTCTCCGCATACTTATAAAATGTGTCGACAACCTATCCTATTGACGAACTTATCCAGATGCTTGCACACGCGTACAGTATATTGTGAATGCCAGTAGAGCATTCAAATGTTAACTGCTACTGCTTCATGCTCCGGACCTCGAGGTAAAAGGTCTTCTCGTAGTAAATAGCGCCTACACGAGAAAAACAAACATGATAAAGAGTGGTGCTTAATACCTGAAAGATGTACTGGCCGCCACCACAATTCCCATATACCTCATCTACCTTTAGCCTCCTTTAATTACTGGCAAGCAAGCGTCGTACGGCCATACTCAAATGAGCGCTATAGTGATAACTATACATGCTATAGTGATAACTATATAATGGAATGATGATCTCATTTCATAATATCATTTTTTTTGTTAACCAGATTGCAGACATTTCAATGAAGACCATCTTTGATATCTTCATCATTCGGTGCTACTCACTTTTTTATTCGATAAATGGATTACCGCTCTCCATTTTATTTCTGCCGCTTTATTTCTCAGAAATGAATTGTGAGAAATATACTCTGTAGGCGTTTAGTGCTCAAATATCTACTCACTGGTTAACAATTAGTACTTTCATTTTCGATAGTATTAATTTTCCTATAATTCTCTGTGGCTCAATTTACAGACAATCGACGACAAACTTTCTAGAATTTATACTCTTATTTGAAATGATTTATCATTAATAATATTTAAACAAAGAAAAGTTATAATTTATCAGAAAATTTTTGCACACCTTCAGCTAAAAAGTATATGCACCCTACGTTGCACGAGTGTCTTAGCACAATATTCGCATTCATAACAATTTTTCTTAAAGTTGTGATTGTTGCACAGATTCCATGATGCGTTCTTTAATCTTCAGCTTATATTGTGTAATTGTAATGGAGTTTAGCCTTTAATGTATATGTATGTATTCTCCCCTCACCCATCTAGCGGCAAGTAAGCTCTATTATTAATTTTTAAGTACATATCACCTGTTCATTTGGAAATCGTCCTTACTCCTCTATACACACTGTTGATTTACCTTTTCAACGGACTGCCCAACATCTAATTCTATCCGTGATCTCCATTATAGTTGATATATCAAGAAGAAAATTGCGTAAATAAGCAAGTGGCTGCTAACGAAGGTTAATAGGATGCTACATCAGCATTTTGTGGTTGAAGCTTTCCCTTACCTGTGCTACTATAATAGACGTTCTCGTTTAAGATGTATCATTGCAAAGTTCTTCAGGCCTTCATGCAATAATAAATAATATTAATGTTATCAACATTCTTCAAGTTTAAATGTTACCAAGATTATTCAAGATTTAATGTTATCAAGATTCTTCGAGATTTAATGTTATCAAGATATAATTTACATAGTTAATAATTGCAGTTTCCTTTGCGCTATTATTATTGATACATATTATTACTGTAATACACAATCATTACAAGTTGCATTTTTAAATTTTCTTTTACGTGAGTGGTATTTCCCCCACTCCAGTCATACTCCTTTGTTTCTATTAATCAGGCATTAATTTTATTTATTTATTTTAATTAAATTTCTAATATGTTTCTACACGTCAGTCATTTTAACTTCTGTGAAGTTAGAACTTCATTGGTAGAGTACCATAGACATCGCGAACTGCATGGTGCTGCAACGTTATGAAACGATCATTTACCGTAACTAACTAGCAGTTAGTGTAATATTAACGTAAGTAATTCTTCTATTACTAATTGTGTGTTGTAGATTCCCTTACAAATTTTTAACAACAACATTCTTTTGTATTCAAATATTCAAACCACTCCAAATTGATGTTCTGTTGTCGACGATTGCATTGCATTTGCAAACGACGTCATGTGTTCACTGTCCTCTCAATGCTCCTTTATTATTGAAATAAAATAGTCTCAATTTTTTAGTCGTGACTGGGAAACCATAGTGTATTAGAATATTTGCTTTTATCAATACGTATACGTGTCAATTTCGCTCATTATCATATCGATAGATTTTTAATTTCTGGTTAATATTTTTTTAATTAAATATTAATTGAACATAAAACCAAATAAAAATTATTCCAAAAATAAAATGAAGTTTATGTGTTCAAAGAGAAGAAGATCGTTTAGTTATAAAGTCAAATGAACCGAATAAATTTCCCCCTTGACACGTTAATTAACTAACATCGAATTTAAATTAAAATAGAAATTCTCATTTCTTTACATTCATAAATTAATTTCTATTCCAAAAAGTTAATCATGTTTTCTATTTATTCTTGCAAATATTTTCATATGCGCAATTCTAGTCTCGTCATCCATTGGTTTGCTTGCTTATTACCTTTGATAAATACAAAGAATTCATCAATATTTTATTTTTTTTTGTATTTTGTTTTTTGTGTTGAAATTAGTTACCGTTTTGTGTATTTTCCATTCGTGGTATTCACCAATTTCTCAAATTACTTTATTCTCTCTATCGTTAGTAATCTCGGATCTCAAGTCTTACGTAGCGACAAAATTACGGTCGATCATCGAAGACAATCATATATATTGTCTTCAGTTGTCAGGCTTAAGTCAAAACCGAAAACTTACACGTGTAATTGACTTATGATATCGTAAGTTTACTTGCTGCTGCCCCAGGGTTATACATCGTAATTAAGCACTCCTTTATGCATACTTACAGACTGCATTAATATTATTGTAGAAGTCGTTGTGTGTGTATGCTTTAGGTATTTTATTATAATTATTAACACTGATCATTCTCCCACACTCTCACACAACACCGATGTGCCAAATATTTGGCATTTGCTACCTAAAAATACTATTCTATTGACCATGGGCCCATACTTTCAAAAAAAGTTAAGTGTTCGTAAGTTCATCAGCCAATCATTGACGGCATTTCAAGCCAAATCCCCCAATCATAGACAAGAAAATAGAGCGTAAGTACTTACGTTCACTTAGCGAGTTTTGAAAGTAAGGCACCAGGTATTCTTCAATTCAACAATTCTGAAAAAAGTGGCAACATGCTTATGCCGCGACGGTTTATCGTGACTCTAAAATGTGCCAAATCATTCGGTGCAGCTATGAAATTTTCAGTCGCTTTAATTCATTGTTTGGCCTCATGCTGTGGAAAGGTTCAATTTTCTTATTTTAAATACATTAGTTTTTTATTGTCTTTGAAATTCAATACTTTCCACTTCTGTTTGCCCATAAACCCATTCTTTGACTGAAATCAAATTTCCAACAACTTAAAAAAATTCCATGCAATCTGATAGTGAATTTCTATTAAAACGCAATTGGCTCTCAAATTCCTAACTTGAATTTCAGCTCAAAAGGAATTATTTTCAAGTCAACGTTCTGTCCTTAGTGGTTGCACGTCAACGAAGCGCTGTAAAATACGCACCATTATCGATTTACTAATTGAAGAGTAGATTAGCGAGCAAGCGTTTCTCATTGTCAACGTTTCAAGTGTACATATGCATGGTAATTGATGTAATAATGGGCCAGGTTGCACGGTGAACTCCTCTTAAATAAATGGTGTCCAGCGCTCAAGCCATTATATGCAACAACACGATTACCGTCAGCGATACTTTGCAGATACCGCGCTCGCCGCTCGTCAATAAAAAACAGTGATTATTAAACTACGATTTAAATTTTACAGTGTCCGCTTAAGAAAGAATAATTATGAAACTTATATAGATCCTACTAGAATAAATCCTAGAAATTTAGGGTTCAATTCTATTTATGCAAATTGATCATTTATATTAAGATTGTCACCAATTATACTGTAGCAACTTACGTATGTGTTATTAATTATATTTTTTCGGGAGTATCGCATGTGGTGCGTATCCAGGAAACCGCAATTTTTTTACAATTTAGGAATCAATTTTATGACGATAATTCCATATTGACGAAAGAGATTCAAATGCTGGATAAATATGCTCCAAAATTCGTGTTAAAATGTGTGTTCTGTACTTATTAATCTTTATTAATAAATAAAATTTGTTTAACAAAAAGAACGAGCTTTAACACATTATTAACTTTAACTTTAACACATTATTAACTATTAAGAAAAGCAGAATTAGTCTGAATGGAGCACGGAAAAAATCCATCATTGTTAAAAAAAATGGATCTTGATTCGAAACTGAACAAAAGCA